CGGCTGGGTGGTTCCCCGGTGAAGGGAGATACCTGGAGCGAAACCCTAACAAGCCGTCGTGTAGGTCGGCGCGGGATATCACCATCCGAGGGAAGAACACCACCGCCTCACGTGACAAAAGCATGCACTACACCTACGGGACTAACGAATCGGCGTGCTCGAGAACAATCAATGAACCGAGGTCCAGCTAAGAGGCGCGTGACGTCAGAGGCTCAGGCCAAAGAAAGCAACGGGGACCAACTCGCGTCACCTGTTGCGCCGCCGCGCCGCGTGCGGGATTCTATTCTCCTCCGCAAGGGCGGGCGTGAAATCCGACGCCATCGCCTACAAACCACGGAGCCATTGTGCTCGGCGGCGAAGAAATCTGCGATGAAACACCTGAAACGACATGAGCCCTCAGTCCATCGATCCGCCACCGCGCGGAGATCTGCAACCTGCTTCCGGAGATCGCGCGGGCACGCCGTCCGCTTGGCAGCGCCACGAGCGGAACGGAAGGGCTGGAAGGAGAGGGGACACGCCCCCCCCTCCCCCACGATTACTACTCAAAACATGGTTATCGAACGTTCTGAACTGTCGCAATTTTCCACAAATCAGTGATTTCAACATAAATGAGACCGTATCGTTTAAATGCTAATATTGTACGTATTATGTTAATATTAAATTTGCAAATGGCAAATATTATCATTTTATAAAATTAAATATAATATATTTATATTAATTTTATTATTAATATTATTGCGTCGGGTAGTTTATTTACATTTAAGTTTCCTTGAGACATTGAATTCTCGACCTCGTCAACCTCATACCTGCGTAACCAACAAACAACGCAAGTAAGAGCTAATATGATTGAGATTATGGTTCTATCCATTAAATTATACAATGTGATTGAACTATGACGATACTGCGAATTAAAGTTGATTTAAATCAATTTTCATTTAACAAAATAAAATATAATATTCAATACAGCTGAATTTACATTTTTTTTTCATCTAACGCAAAGAATAGGGACGATAGGTAGAAGTGTACATCAAGTTATTGGAGATAGAGGGGGTATCAGTTTTGCCTGTAATGTATTGTACGTAATTATTGAATAGTATTCGATGTAAGACTGTTTCTCTCAAAACCACTTTTCTGAAGCGAAAATTCAGCACACGTGGGCGCCCTAGTTATGTGATTGCGAGAGCTTCGTAGAGTGGAGGTGCTAGATTGAGGCTCCTATCCTAGCGAATAGGGGTTTTCAACATCTAAGTCGCCGAATCGATCGATTGTGATATCTGATACATCCGGCTGCTTTGAACCTCTGTTTCCGTGGTTTCCTTAGATTAATTCCAGGTCAATGCTGGAGTTGTATCTTAAGCAACGGGATACAACGGAAATCTTCCTTTATCAATCCCCTATGTACCCTCTCCAATCCAGGGCGTGGCGAGTTAATACATTTCAATATGGGCCATTCGCCATGAACTAAATAGAATTCGGCAGTTGTGGGATACTCAAGATAGAGTTGATAGAGATGTTGACTGGTATCCTTTCAACAAGAAGAATAAGCAGACGAAACGCCACTAGTGAAACCGAAATCTAGAACCTCCTTAGTACACATCTAGGGAGCCGACTAGCTCTTAAACACTGTCGATGCTCCGGTGTGTGCAGACCGGCCAAAAAATGCTGAGAAATGCGAGCCCTCACTGGACACAAATTTGATTTCGAAGAGCGAGCACTGGATGTACATTGTCGAAATAGCGAAAGAACATCAAGTCAAACAATTATTTATTGGAGCTGCAACTGAAGTAAATCAGTTGTCGACGGTTTCATCCAATCGAGAGCTTGAACGGAGCTACGGGAACGTCACCATAGGGACAACACCGTAGTGACGTGTAAGCTTCCGATTGGATGATACCGTAATAGCTGATGACCTGTGAGAGGCAGGTCTAAATAAATCGAAGTATATATTAAGTAACCTGTGACAACGAAACTTTGTCCTATGACAGCGATGGACCGCAGCATGCCTGCATCGTGCGACCCCCCGGACTAGATTGTGAGAGTAAACAGAATATAAACACAGGTTCTCGCAACGTCATTTTCGTTCCGCTTAGTCGAGGAAGCACTGGGATTTCAAAACGCGTGTGCCCATTGTCCTTCATGACAATGGCCGCTGAGACAATGCTGCCCCTGAAAGGGAAGAGAATATTGTAAAGGCGTGGTAGAGAAGGACTCATCTTACTCCACGTTTTCCCGCCAGAAGCATTTGTATCGGTTAATCTAATTCAAGAAAGCAAGGGAAGCCTCCGAATGAAATTTTCTGTTTTTGCGTGCGATCATTAACAAAAATTGCGTTATTACTAGTGGGCCGCAGCACTAGCTTTTGCAAGTGGAAGGGGTCGTGTATTCGAATCAGGCATAACAAATGATCGATATACACACATTATGTATTGAGTTAATATTTAGGATCGCATCGCATGATATCATCTGCCTCTCTCACGGGTAATAAATGATTATTCTATTATTTTTAACCATTAATAATTTAGTATGTTTTTTGTTTTATGATTTTTTATTACGTAAAATGAATTTGTAAAGATTATACAATTGTTAGTAACGACTCCCATCTCGATCAGGTATTTGTCCAGTTTCCGTAATACATTGAGCAAATGATGAGATGGCCCCTTGTTTTGCTTCTGGCCATAAATGTAACTTCATTATGCGCATGTTTTCTTGAACCCTTCTATCGCTTATAGTGGTAGGAGTAGAGTTAAGGGCGAGTTACTGTTTTGTTAGCCATGCACAGAAATCAAATATCCAGTTCGTTTACCGTTGCAAATAAGTATTCTGTAACTGTGGAACGAAAATGTATAGATTTTCAAATGTTGTTAATTTTGCGCTTTTTTAAATTTTATTTTTATTTATTTATCTTTATCTTTTACTCATCTTTTAACTATTTATAGATAAAGTGATGGAAAGGGATTCTGGAACTCAAGAAAACGTGCGCAGATGATCTTCTCCCCCAAATGTTACATACGTTTTTTTTCTTTTTTTCACTAAATAAAACTAAATCTATTATTTCTTTACCTTGTGTATCAAATTGAATTTCGTGCTCTATTTTTGAGGAACATATGATAAAACTTGACCAACATATGTAAGCATAAACATAATTCATAACTAGGAAGATCAGAAAGTAAGTGTGAACGTTTTCACTAACAAACCACAAGTCCTGATTGAAACCTATTGGCAAAGGCAATGACAAAGCTAAATACAAAAAAAAAATAATTTACGAATCAGAAATAGTTTAAGTCCGCCTTGAAGGGTATGATGAAACGGAAACGTTTCCTACGTCTACCTTCAAATTCTTAAGACGGAACTTAAAATGTTAAGTACTAGTGGTGAAACCAGCCGTTGGAGAGGTATTTAATGTCTGCAAGGAGGGCCAGTCGCAGCCAGCCGTCGCCCTGGATACTGCATCCGCGACCCCGTCGCCACTGAGGATGTCAACTGTGGCCATGGACGAAACGGCTGGCCCTTCAATGTCAACTGGACCACAGCCTACCAGCCCCGAAACTTTCTCTGAAATTGACTCCCGCCGTGAAACACTTCGATGCTACATAAACGAATATCTGTATCGAGTTATTTTTCTTATATTCATTGTATTCTACCTTTCATTCACTGTAATGCTGTTTTCCTGATTCTTAAATCAAATACATAAACATTTATTTGTTAAATTGGTAGCGGAGCGGACATGAAGTATTCAAAGGCACGTAGGGGTATCATAATTCCCAAAGGTCCGCAAGGGTGTAAGTGCCGATACGGTGGCCGAGATCGCTAAGGCAGTAGTTGCCGATCGCGGATTCGAGTCCCGCCTCGGGCATGGTAGTAGTGTGTTCGTCCTTTCACCCCCTATCATCATCATATCGTGTCATCCTCACAGTTACCATACCGGTACAAGCAATAGTGGTCACTAATGATCTAGAATTTGATGCGACCTTAAATAAAAAAAAATGTGTAAGGATACCACTACGTGTTATGTTTCAGGTCCATAAACATACAATAAGAAATAAGTAAACCATAAAATATTTCTCGAACTCCGTTTACAAATAACTATGTACACATATGTATATTGGAATTTACGAGAAGTCGATGAGTCTTCGTCGCATAGTAGCTTCCAAACGTCCGACGCATTATTTCACCACAATGAAGGTTCCTGTGAGATAGGCACATATAATGTCGTCTTACTATATTCTTATAATCTATCTCCTTTTTCTTCCACGAAAAACCCACTCCAACTTCTTAAGACATCTGTTACATTCATGCGACATACGGGCCCATACCATCTCACACATTTTGCTTACATTGTGACATCTCGAAGTGTCAATATTTATCCTGCAGCAAATTTCCTTCTTTTTATCTTGTCTCTTCACCCCAACACTCTCTAAAACACAATTTCCATTCTAGCAACCCATTGTAAATTTGCTCTGGGCTCCATAAGTCGTGATCATTGCTTTGTATAGACTCACTATTGTGACCCCTTTTTATTCGAGTGTTCTATAACACCTGATTCCATCGTTTCTTAAGATTTTCCTCGACTAAATAAGCTACTAGTATTTCCGTGCGAATAATTTGCACAGTATTAAATTCATTTACAATATTTTAGAACACATAATCATACATTTCTTTCATTCTCCTTGAATTGTTCTTTTCTTTCAAGAACGCAAATTGAACGGAAATGCGGAAGTACAGTTCTTTTCGCAGAGCCTAAAAAGCTCCTTGATTTGTCAAATGATTTACCAATTAATATTTTGCGCAAACTTACAAAAGGCTATTAAGGTTGCGGGATTAGTGGGTTCTGAGCTTTCAACATCACCTTGATTATATTCATCAAATTCATACAGCGATTAACTAGATATCAGATCAGCGGTTGACTAGATTCATCGTATTTATAATATAGATGTTTTGGAAGGATTGGGCGTGTTTTGCGAGGGTTTCGCCTCATCCGCGTGCTTGCTCGTGTGTTGCAGAGACGCGTGACCACCAAGGGCAGCCTGTGCGTGAGCAATACTGCCCCATCAGCGGCCACTTCTCCTTCACGTCGCGCGGCGGGCCGGGCGGCGGGGGCGGCTTCGGCGGCGGCGGCTTCGGGGGCGGCTTCGGCGGCGGGCCGCGCCGCGACTGCCCCAACGCGCAGATGTCGCAGGTGGACAGCTGCCCGTCGGGCTCGCAGCTCAACATGCGCTACCGCAACTGCAACTTCCCCGACTTCGGTGAGTGCGACACCTGTTGGCCAGCGCTCGCAACGCACGCCGCCCTTGGAGGTCGAGTTGTCAGGTGTTGTGTGTTGTGAAACACCAATCTCATCCAAATCTATATTAATGTACTTGAAAACCTCCGTAATGCCTTCAACTCTTATAATTTCCTTGGACCCCTGAATACTGCGAGAGTGCACTCCTTTGCGTCACCGATTTCGCCATTTCACAGGGACAGGGCTGTTACTGGGAGTTCGAACTGTCGTGTTTTCTATTCGGGAAACCATCACTTTACTCAATGCTAATATTAAGGTAATCGAAATCCCACAATGCCTTCAGCTCTTATAATATCCTATAAATTTCTTAATGCCAAAGGGGGGCTACCGAGTGAGAGAATATTAATGGCAGCAATCATTCACATTGCACTACTCTGTATCTAGGATCTCGAGTCTCCGTATCTAGGATCGCAGTCTAGAACCACGGCAAACATTACGCCACCGTTTGGGATCGACACAGGTAGTTCTATTTTGAAACAATTACAATGAAATTTATATTGTTGGCTAAATTTGTGACTATGCAACTATTGTTCATCTGTCTGATACATTTAAAATTTATCTCTGATGTTGATGATCACAGAATATTAAGGGAAAAAATCATCGTGCAGCCATTATTTGCAATTATGAATACATCATCCCGTGGTGGATTTAAGAGGGATAGGGAATCATGATTACCTCCAAAAATTGTTAAGAATTAATTTTTTAGAACAAAGGCAAAATATACTCTTAAAAATTGAACAAATAATAGAAAATTTTGCCCATTAAATAAATAGATTACAGCTTGTAATTGATTAAATCACTTTCTTGTTCGATAGATTATTTGATGTTTTAACATTATCCCAGGACAAGATCAGGATCTGTCGCTCTGTAATTGAATACCTAGATTGGCTTCCCTTATTTGAGGCACCAAGGTGTAATAATGGTAATTGACATTCACGTATCGTAAAGAAGTTCAACGCGAAACCGTGGTTTTACATGCAAGAAGCGACACAACTCATTACGAATGAGAGTAACATGACTGCCATCTGTGGCTCGTTGTTGAATTCACATTCAATGACAAGGAGCGCTACTCCCTCTTTTTCATTACAGCTAGTCAAAATGTCAAATGTCAGTCAAATTACGGAGCTTACTTTTTCCAAAGGAGTGTATCTCCAAGAAATACAATTTTCCAGGAAGGGAAAGTATTCGCCACGGTTCAAGGAAAGATTCACCAGTTTTCGGATGCTGACACATCAGAAACCTCATTTTCAAAACAATCTTTGGCAGTGAGATGGACAGCATCTTTAGAATGCATTGATACGTAAAACTAGAAAACAAGCGAAACTGGAGATACGTCACCTGGGAATAAGCTCTTCAATCATTTACACCCAAACGCCTCACGTCTTGTGAGATTTCAAGGAACTGCCCGAGATGCGCGCTCTTTCCAAGAGCTTGCACGCGCGGGCGCGCCACGGGCAGTGGCGTGCCAATGGCAATGGCAATGGCAATGGCAATGGCGTGCGTGTGACGCGTGGCTGTTGCAGACGTGACGTACGCGTGCCTGGGCCACTGGGAGGGGCCGGCCGGCCAGCACTACCTCGCGCTGCTCAACCGCGCCGTCGACTCTCTGCCTCGGTATCCACGCTACCGCTGCGCGGTAAGTACTCTTGCCAACCTACCAGCTTACCAGACACAAGGATCAATAAATAATAATAATCATAATAATAATAATAATAATAATAATAATAATATTGAATTAATGCCTTATTTTACGTGGCGAGACTCG